CACAATAACAAATGGTTCTATTGGCTGATTACGAACACGCCACAATCGTCTAGTTTGAATGAAAATATTCTTTCTGTAAAACTGAGAAAGAATATTTGCTTCTTTATTCGTTAACGACCAATGGAAACTAAGCAGAAACAAAGGTAAAAGAGTCTTAAAGTTCACCTAAAGTTAAAATACTAACATGTTCGTAAGAAGTCGTGGAGTATGGTTTGGATTTGCTGAAAAGATGTTTACGTTTTGCTCGGCGAAATCCAGAAAACATGTTTTTAGCGAAGACGACTGTCATCCTTCTTTAAACTCATATTCATTTACGAACATTGGCTGGTCATTACGGCTTCTTGAGAAGACCTAGCAGCAGGTGTTTTTGTGAGTAATAAATTTATGTCTTCTTGTGTAATTTGTGTTGTTATTGCGAGAGAAATCTTCCCGAAGTCGGATTGTCCGGAGATAACAAAAGTCCATAACAAATTTAAAAACAACAATAAAAAAGGAAATTTAACCTTTAAATGTTGTTGATGACCAGTTGGTGTCTGTTCTGTTCCCAGTGAATGTCTTTAGGGCAAAATTTGCTGCAGCTGGTCTTCCGACAAATTTGCGAAACGTGCAACACGCGAGTTTTTTTTAATTCGGCTTCATTTTTGCTGCTTGTTGGATCAGGACCTAAAAGCAGGTCAATGCCGATAGAAAAATTGTGCAGTTCTTCGCTGGTTTCTTCCATATTTTAAAGAGAAGGAAAACTGCACTGCAGCTTAAAATACGACAACTTTGCAGCCAGTTAAAAAAAAAAAAATGCTTACGTCATCTTATTTACGCACGGGCGTGCGTAAATAAAGATTTTGTTCATAGCGGCTCAATAGGACTTATATAGGGCAAGCACGCGCGCTATGTTATAATCAAACATTTAGAGCACCGCAAAAAATACTCGGCGCCCCCCAGCGCGGTCAGAAAATTATTGTTAATCAAAGCAAACTTATTTTAGTTATAGTCTCGATAGAGCCTTTCACTCGCCAGAGTTTCAGGCAAAATTATTTTTCACACGAAATTGAGTGGGCGGTTTTTACTGAGACGGCCTCTTAAAAGTTGAAATATGTTCCGTGTTGCGCTGCGACGCCGCCCAATGAGGATATATTTTCTCCCATCTAGCCGTCATCATATAAAGCCCGTAATGTCGTCACGAAATCAAATTTAGTTTATGAAATCTTTAGTGGATCAAGTTAGAAAAAGGTTAGATATCTTTGTTGCACGGAAACCGTATGTCTATAAAAGAAAAGAAAGGAAAAATAGGAAAAAGTAGAAGAAAAAGAAGAAAAAAGAGAGTAGAGCGATTTGTACGTGCATGGTCTTATTAAATGGGTGCCGTCGCTTCGCCACCGCTTAATTGAAAATTCATTATAGGCATCCACGGTGATAAACAACTTTTAATCATAATTATATGTCGGGATATCTAAAGCAGCTATAAAATACTGAATCGGATTATCTTACACTCAGTGATAAATATTCTATGACATGACCACATTAATTTGCTTTTTTTTTTCTTTTCAGAAAATGTAAAATGCTTGATGTTATAATACCGATTATGTTGTTGACCACATAACTGGCTACTGATTGAACATTTTGGTCGACTGTCGTCAGAAGTTCATCGAAAAAGTTTGAAAACAGGTACATTTTGTTTAAAAAGGTTTTTGGGGGATGATATAGACAAGGGTTTTAATCGGCACAATTTTTCGAATGAGTTAAAATTGCCATGGATTACTATTAATAGTTCTTTTTACCGATGTGATGGTAGTTGTTTGTGTTAAAATTAAGCACCACACACAAAAGCCACACCTGTTCGCATTTCTCTCCATCACAGTATTTAAACACGACTGATTACATGAATATTTTTATCGTTAGCACTCTTCCGTGCTTTCCCAGTTTGCGTAACAATTTATAAAACTCAACTTAATTTGCTTCTTTGATTTTGATTTCAGGAGTTGAGTAGGATTAAAAATTGAAACCCGTCAAACATGAACAACAGCGCAAGTGCGGCTATCAAACTTCAAAATCAGCAGGAAAATCAAGGATTGAGACAGATGATCAAGGCTCTTCCTATCGCCATAGTAATAATTGTTACAAACGGACTCGTGTTTTTCTTGTTTTATAGACGAAAGAGCCTGCGCATCAAGTCTAATTACCTTCTGCTTGGCCTAGCGGTCTGCGACTTTCTGACAGGCGCAGTAAACATTCCATACTTCATTATTTTCTGTTTCAATGTGGTGCCTTCTCAGATGTTTGATCAGTTTGCCTTTTGGATGTACGCCCTTCACACTCTTACGGCTGTTTCGGCAGCTTATCACATTCTTGTCATAACTGCAGAAAAGTTTCTGGCAATTGCTCAACCACTGAGACATCATATAGTCACCAAAAAGGCAGTGTTCAAAGTATTAGCGGGAATTTGGTTCATATCAGCTTTTATCGCTATAATACCGCTCTCTTGGCGGAATGCCAAATCAAAAAGCCTTGCTCTTATCATTCATTCTTCCTTTTGCCTCGCTCTCGTATTCTTGGTCCCGTATGTATTTATGGTGTACGCGTACACGGTGATGTTCAAAG